AGCAACTGATGAATTGTCCAAATATTCCGTATCGATTACTAGATTCAAGAAAAATGAAGATTGAAATTAATCTATGATTGTATTCATAAATTCAAATAAAATTAATCCTTTAATTCACCTTCATTATTGGTGCCTGGACTTGGCGGTTCATATTGGTATTCGGAGTCTTCTGCATCATTAGCTAAGTGACATTTGAATCATATTATTGTAGAAAGGAAAACATACATTGATAGAAAGACATTCACAACATTCCCTCTTACCTTTCCAAGACATTTTTGGCGGCTTTGGTCTTGCCCTATCCAATTCTTTGATCAATTTATTCATTTCTTCAGCTGGATCGTTGCTGATTCTATGTTCTTCCGCCTCGGCTTCATTAAGGATAAATTGTTGAAGACTCATCGGTTTTGAAAAAGTACCATTTGATGATGATGATGATGATGATCCCGACGGAGTAATATTATTATTATTGATGGTCAATCCAGGCGATAATGGACTGCTTTGTATAGTGGAGCTAGAGACGACGGAAGTTGATCTTGATCTATTGTTGATATTATTGTTGGGAGGGGGTTGATACATTCGTGGGAGAGCGGGCCCGAATAGTGGAGAGTCTTGGCTATTAACTGATCCACGATGAGATGAAGAACTTCGTCTTGAAATATCGGGTTGAGAGGAGGTTGGTGAAGATAATAAATGGTACATAGGATTGGAATTTAATGGATGATAAGGCGCGTTAATTTCATTGGAAGTTCCAACCGAGTAGCCATATGGATTTGGTGGCAAAACATTCGACGAACCGCGCCGACGATTATCAATCGTTGGGGCTGCATTGGTGGGAGCGATTCGTGGCGACGAAACAAGAGGAATTTGAACTGAAGTTTCGTGATTAAGTTTGTGCATGTCGTTGTTAATTGAATTTTGAATCTGTTTTATGTTAAGTGGTGATGGAAGTGGAGACTTTCTTGGTTTCAATGAGCTATTATTGTGTTCTTCTAAATTATTCGGAAATTGTAATTCAACTGATTTGGATTCATTTTGCGAGCTTGATGTTTGATTACTGTCATGCAAATTCGATGATTCTGTCGAATTTAGAGAATGATTCGAAACATCAAATTTCCTAGCATTAGTTGGTTGCTGTTTCTTTTGCTCAACTGTAGGTATCGGCAGCGATTTCTCTTCAACAGCTTCCGCCAAATCCGAAGACATCGCCTCCGCCGCCACCGCCACTGCCGCCGCCACTGCCGCTGATTTATTCTCATTTAAAATTGATGATGACTCCGCAATAACAAGATTCTTCTCGTTGGCATTATTGGTTTTTGAATGTTTGCCCTTACCAAGATTATCGTTGTCTTCGTCATCGGATTCATCGAAACTCATAAAAGGTAGCAGTTTTGTTGCACGACTTTTTGGGGTGTAAGAGTTGGCGGTGATCGAAGCAGTCGGTGATGATACAAATGGTGAAGAAGGTGAAGGAATTGGGATGAGAAGTGGGGAAGGTGTTGGAATCATATTCAGTGTTAAGGGTTCATGGGATTTTTGAAATTGCGTTGGCGATAATAAAGGTGATGGATTTTGTGCTTTAAAAGTAATTATTAATTAGTAAACAATAATATCCAAAAAGATAAGAAACGTGAAGATTGAACTAACCCATTGATCCTATTGATTTAACAGACAGTGAATCCGCACGACTTTCGAATTGTGAGCTCACACTATGCGTATCAATAACTTGACTGCAAAGAAACGCTGACGGATTTTGCGTTGGTCTCTCGAACTTAATTGACGGTGTCGTAACTGATAAATTCTCTGTTATTTTTTCTTCGGATGAAGTTGACGATGACGACGACGAAGACTCGATATAAATCTTTTTTAGCGCAGAATCCGCAAATTCCTTCACTTCACTGGCACTTGGTCTCTGATCTTTATCTGAATGCCAACAACTTCGCATTAATTTCGCATACGTTTCTAGCGTACCGGATAATATCAGTGGCCTGACGCCATCACAAATCTCAATCATCAACTGGACATCATGAGCACGATCGAGAAATGGTGGACACCCAGCTGTGATTTCCCACATAATCATCCCTAGACTATAAATATCTGCTTTCTCGGTCAGTGGGCCACCGCGTAACACTTCTGGCGCCATGTAGGGTATGATCCCGAATACGCTTCCAGGAGGTAGTTTTTGTGGTGGCCCACAGAATCCCAGATCGCTTATACGGTTGGTACCTAGATTGCTGCGCAGGATGTTACCGGAGTGTAGATCTCCGTGTATTAGACCTTTTTGGTGTATTCTTGAGAGGTCGTTTGACAGTTGGGATATTATCATGAGTTTCTCTTTCCAGGTTAATGTTTCTGCATGTTTATGTAGATAGTTGCGCAAGTCACCTTGTTCCATATATGCCATTACTATTATGAAATTTCCGGTTGTTGGATTGCGACTCAATCCATAGCATTCTACAATAAATCTAGTATCTCCTTTCATGCTTAAATGCGTTTCAGCCTGTATAAAGAATAAAATTTAGATACGAAATTATTGCGACCAATGATTTTAAAAAATCTTACCACTTTGAAAAAATCTTCATCGGGCTTCTGAAATAGGCTCTTTAATACTACGGAAATATTTGGCTGTCGAATGAAAGCTCCTCGACCTTTATCCCACCCAAAAATTCTGCCACGCTTCCACGTAGCAGTGTAAATCTCGCCGAATCCACCTCTGGTTTTAAACTGCACCCCCGTAAAATCCTCAAACGGGATCCACTCAATAATAAATTTCGGTATTGGTTTTTCCATCTGACACCGTTGTATAAATTGATCAATCATCTGATTCCCGCTCGTCCACTCTTCAAATCCGTTTCTTAGCAACTCCTTCATACAATTATCACAATAGATAGTCGAGTAATGATGGTGATTACATAAACTACAATAATGTTTCTCGCCTTGCTGCAATGTCAAATTATCCAATTCTTCTTTCTCGTACAGGAATTTCAGTAGCCATGATTTCTCTTGCGGCGTGAGATTTGCTCGTTGTTCGATCGCTTTGCGGATCTCTGTAAAGTTTGTAAAAGATTCACGAGATTTGTATAGAATGTCGTTTATCGTCTCGGCTATTACATTTGCACGGTATTGTTGTGGTGGATGTGGTGGTGATGGTGTTGATGCTGTGGATGACGTGTTATGTTGAGAATTCTGAGTTGATACGGAGGATATTGATGATGTCATGTTTTCTGTATTCGCTTGTAAATTTTCAACCGAAATATTAATTTTACCAGTCATGTTGTTCAAGTTTAATTCTTTATTGAGTTGCTTTATTTGAGATTATGCCTGACCGTTGTCTTGTATATTTTCCGGAAATAATGTTGTACAATAAGTATTAATAATAATATCTCAAGAAAAATAAGTTTTCTAAATAATTAATTTAATCTAATGTCTAGTATATGATTTTTTATTTCTTCTCCCAGAAACACACTTTTATTTTGAGATGACGTATATATGTATAATAGTGAGAGTGAATGAACAGTAAGTTGATGTCATTTGGTTCTCGAACAAGAAATACAGTATCGGTATGGGAGGATGTAGAGTGTGGATCTTAAAGTATGATTAATAACTAGTTACTATTATTTATTATTTATTTATTTTACAGTTTAAATTTAGTTTCTCTTGTCTCACCAATAATACTTGAATGTGTTCTTATGCGCGCACTCTTCAAAATTATCAATCTGATGCTTATCGTTTTATCATGTACGTATAAAAATAAAATATCGACGTTGTATGTGCGTGTATGAACAATGAACCGGCACTTTGTTTGATTTTTTGAGATTAGTTGGAGTAATTGCATGGATCGCCATCCGTAACAAACGTACAATACTCCAACGAATAATTAAAATTTAGCCTACATTCATGCGCTTTGTTCTATTTCTATTTTGAGGACTGAAATAGGATTTTTATGCATGTGACGTGACACACACCTAACGAAGAGATGCAATGCAAAATTTATTTGTATAAATAAGAACTTTATTTTTAAAAATAATCGATCGCTATACATGTACGTATATGTATGTACGTACTATGTTCATTGACAGATATCTACGCAAATTCATTACTAATTACTAACACAATTATTTCTTTTTCTCGTACTCGATGAGAAAGGTACGTACTATGAAAGTAATGAAATTTCACGATATATTATCTTCACAGAATTAGATGGTTTTTAAGCAATTCAGTTTTTTAGCTGACAGATGAAAATTCTTGTTTATTATTTAGCAATAAAAAAATGACTCAGAAACCAAAAGATTTGCTATTCTTATTTAAACGAGTAGACACTTCAAATAATAAAGCTTATAAAAAATTTTTTTGTCATTTAATGCTTTCAGCCTAGCAATTGCGATAAGATTTTCGATCATTGATATACGTATAAGATTATTTGATGGGTTTTTTTGGATATACATGTCGTTTAATAGTATTATTTATACATACGTGTACTTGCCGAATTTAATTCAAAATCAGTAGAGCATTATTGACATACTGTACATTCTAGTCGTCACTTATTATCGTCAAATCATTATCCTTGTCATTGTAAATCGATTTGTACCAGCAGACACAGTATGATAAAAGAATGTTACTAATTGGGAAATAGTTTGCTATTACCGTTGCGTTAAAAATAAAAACAGGCTACAAATTTCTTATTAGAAAAACTAAATGAGTGCTATTTCCATACTTCAGTGGTTGGCTTAGAGACGATTGTTAGATTTCGTGCAAGGTATACGTATCGATATCTCATAGCAATCAGATTGGATTGAATTTAGCCAATTAAATTGCACTTTTGATTATAGATCTGCAAATTTAATCCAATCGTGCACCCACCGAGTTCGAATAACGATAATTAATTTAGCGTATTGTTATTGCTATGGCAATCGAGCTACAGTGGCACACACATGTAACCGAACACGAAAATTAACTTTCTAGCATTTTTATTTCCATGACTATTAGTTTGGACAAAATAAAAA